GTCATACTTGATCATAATGGATATTTTTTTGATGTGTTCTTGGATTCAGTTTGCCAGAATTTTGTTGAGGATTTTTGCATTGATGTTCATGACTGAGATTGGCCTGTAATTCTCTTTCCTGGTTGAGTCTTTGTGTGGTTTTGGTATCAGAGTGACTGTAGCTTCATAAAAGGAATTTGGTAATGACCCTTCTTTTTCTATATTGTGGAATACTTAAGGAGTATAGGTATTAGGTCTTCTTGGGAGTTCTGGTAGAATTCCGCATTGAAACCATCTGGTCCTGGGTTTTGTTTGGTAGGGAGGTTTTTGATAACAACTTCTACTTCTTCGCGACTAACAGGTCTATTTAGATTGTTCACATGGTCCTGGTTTAATTTTGGTATATGGTATTTATCTAAAAAAGTGTCCATTTCTTTTACATTTTCCAGTTTTGTGGTATTCAGGCTTTTGTAGTAAGATCTAATGACTCTCTGAATTTCCTCTGTGTCTGTGGTTATGTCCCCCTTTTCATTTCTGATCTTATTAATTTGCGTATTCTCTCTCTGCCGTTTGATTAGTTTGGATAGGGGTTTATCAATCTTGTTGATTTTCTCCAGGAACCAGCTTTTTGTTTCATTGATTCTTTGGATTGTTTTCTGTGTTTCTATTTTGTTGATTTCAGCCCTCAGTTTGATTATTTCCAGTCTTCTACTCCTCCTAGGTGAGTCTGCTTCTTTTTTTTTTCAAGAGCTTTCAGGTGGGCTGTTAAGTCTCTAATATGTGCTTTCTCTGTTTTCTTTAAGTGGGCACTTAGTGCTATGAACTTTCCTCTTAGCACTGCTTTCATAGTGTCCCATAAGTTTGAGTATGTTGTGTCTTTATTTTCATTGAATTCAAGGAAGACTTTAATTTCTTTCTTTATTTCTTCCTTAATCCAGGTATGATTCAGTAGTTGACTGTTCAGTTTCCATGAGTTTGTAGGCTATCTGGGGGTAGCATTGTTGTTGAATTCTAACTTTAATCCATGGTGATCTGATAAGACACAGGTGGTTACTAATATTTTTTTGTAACTGTGTAAGTTAGCTTTGTTACCGAGTATGTGGTCAATTTTCGAGAAGGTTCCATGAGCTGCAGAGAAGAAGGTATATTCTTTCCTCTTTGGGTGGAATAATCTATAGATGTCTGTTAAGTCCATTTGCTTCATTACCTCCATTAATTCTCTAATTTCTCTGTTAGGTTTCTGTCTGATTGACCTGTCCATTGGTGAGAGAGGAGTGTTGAAGTCTCCTACTATTAGTGTGTGCGGTTTGATGGCTGCCTTGAGTTTTAGTAATGTTTCTTTTACGTACGTGGGTGCTTTTATATTAGTGGCATAGATATTCAGGATTGAGACTTCTTCCTGATGAATTGTTCCTGTTATGAATATAAAATGTCCCTTTCCATCTCCTCTGATTGATTTAAGTTTGAAGTCAAATTTGTTAGAAATTAGTATGGCCACACCTGCTCGTTTCTTAGGTCCATTTGCTTGATAAGCCTTCTCCCAACCCTTTACTCTGAGTAGGTGCCTGTCTTTGTGGTTGAGGTGTGTTTCTTGTAAACAGCAGAATGTTGGATCCTGTTTTCGTATCCAATCTCTTAGCCTGCGCCTTTTTATAGGTGAGTTGATCCCATTGACATTAATTGATATTAATGACCAGTGATTGTTAACTTTGGTCACTTTTTTAGTAGTAGGGTTTGTGTGTTTCCCTTCTTTGATTTGGGCTGGTGAAGGGTCTCTAGATGTCTGAGTTATTGTGGTCATTGTTGGACTCCTTGGTTAGTGATTTTCCTTCTATTATTTTCTGTAAGGCTGGATTTGTGGCTACGTATTGTTTAAATTTTTTTTATCCTGGAAAATTTTGTTTTCTCCGTCTATAGTGAACGAAAGCTTGGCCCGGTATAGTAATCTGGGCCTGCATCCATGTTCTCTTAGTTTCTGCAGTACATCTATCTAGGACCTTCTGGCTTTCATGGTTTCCATGGAGAAGTCAGGTGTAAGTCTGATAGGTTTACCTTTATAAGTAACTTGGCCTTTTTCCTTTGCGGCTCTTAATATTCTTTCTTTATTCTGTATGCTTTGTGTTTTGATTATTATATGGCGAGGGGATTTTTTTTTTTGATCCAGCCTATTCAGTGTTTTATACGCTTCTTGAACCTTCATCGGTATATCTTTCTTTCGGTTGGGAAAGTGTTCTTCTATAATTTTATTAAGAATATTTTCTGGACCGTTGAGCCGCACTTCTTCTCCTTCTTCTACTCCAATTATTCTTAGGTTTGGTCTTTTTATTGTGTCCCATATTTACTGAATGCTTTGTGATGAAATTTTGTTGGACTTGCTGTTTTCTTTGATCAGTGTGTTTATTTTCTCTATGTTATCTTCAGAATCTGAGATTCTTTCTTCTATCTCTTGTATTTTGCTGGTTATGCTTGTTTCTGTAGTCTCTATTCATTTACCTAGATTTTCCATGTCCAGCTGGCCCTCTATATGTGTTTTCTTCTTTGCCTCCATTTCAGTTTTCAAGTCTTGAACTATTTCCATTATCTGCTTGATTGTTTTTCCTTGGTTTCCTAGGGTATCATTCACTGATTTACTCAATTCCTCAAACTTTCTGTTATCCTTCTCATCCATTTCTATAAGGGCATTTTTTATATGCTGTTTAAGGGCCTCCATCACTTTCATAAAGTCAGTTTTTTCTACTTCTTCTTGATTAAGGTGGTCATGTCCTCCTGTTGTGAGGTCGCTGGGTTCTGGTGGTTTCATGTTGTTTTTCAGATTGTTGGGTGAATTCTTGCATTGGCGCCTGCCCATCTCTTCCTCCGAATACTCCCCTATCGATCTTCTTTTACAGGATCAGGTCTTCTTGCCCACTGTTGTACCTTCTCAGTGATGTCACTCCCCAGTGATGGCTCTCGTGGTGTCCAGATCGGATCTCCGTGCTGCTTTGGTCGCCCGCAAACCAAGGGCCCACCCTGCTTGCTTCAGGCAGGCTATGGAGACAAAGGAACTACCGACTTCCCTTTTGCCCTCCCGATTCGGGTTCGGTCCCAGTGCCTGAGCAGTCTGAGCTGGGAGGTGCTATGTCGCCAAAGAGGGGAGGGAGGGAGGGAGGCAGGGGGCAGGGGGTTCTGGATGTAAGCTGGGTGGGAAAGGAAGAGAGAGGAGGTATTGGGCAGTATAGCCCCTGCAGAATGACCAGGAAGTGAAGGAGAGCAAAGTTTTGGATCTTATAATGAAGTCTTTTTTTTATTTTTTAAATTTATTTATTTATTAAGAATTTCTGCCTCGTCCCCACAACCGCTTCCCATTTCCCTCCCCCTCCCCCGATCAAGTCCCCCCCCCTCATCTGCTCGAAGAGCAATCAGGGTTCCCTGATCAGTGTTCTCTTTTGTTACATGTCACCTATGGTTGAGAGGATTTTGTACCCTATTTTGATGTTTCCTGAACATCCTTTTCATCTTTTTCCCTTGCACCAGAAGTTTTATAAGGCAATGGCTTCTGGCACCATTGTGTATGCTTACAATTAATGTTATTTGAGCTTAAACCCAGAGAAAAGAGGCCATAATGTGTGACAAGAAAAGGCAGACAAGACAAAAGAAAAAAAACCAGAAACTAGAAAATTAAATTTGGGGCTGGAGAGATGGCTCAGAGGTTAAGAGCACTGACTGCTCTTTCAGAGGTCCTGAGTTCAATTCCCAGCAACCACATGGTGGCTCACAACCATCTGTAATGAGATCTGGTGCCCTCTTCTGGCCAGCAAGCATACAGACAGACAGAACACTATACATAATAAATAAATAAACCTTTAAAAAAAAAAGAAAAGAAAATTAAATTTGGCTTACCAGGACATTTGATTTAGGACCAAAATTTCTCAAATGTGTGCTTAGGCTCTTCTCAGTCATGTAGAAACAGACAAGAGCGTTTTAATCAAGATCACAGATTTTGTGTGGAAGTTTGGCAAGGAAAGAGAGGACTTTCCACATTCTTGGCCTCATCAATTAACTAATCAATAACCAGACACAAAATTTTAGCAAATAAAAATTTATCTGTATAATAAAAACATCTGAGGTCTGAACATAAAACCATGGAGAGAGTGATTAGTGGGGACCATGTTAGGGCAGGTAGAATTATTTTCTCTGTATAAATTAGTTAATGTCAATGGGTGTATCTGTTGTGATGTGTCTTGTTTGTCTCCTTTTTTGTTGTAAATTAGGTCTTCAAAATACATTGAGTTGCAATTAACCAAAATCATGTACAGTTTGAAGTGGAGTGAAACATATTAGGGTCACTTTCTTACAAACTGTATTTATTATCATTGTACTTTGTAGGCAGAGGCTGCTTGTTTGTTCCTAGCTTCCCAGACCCACAATAAGCACACAGAAACTGCATTAATTAAAACACTGCTTGGTTTATTAGGAAATTCATCTAGAGAAATTTTTCATAAACATGTGATTTCTATTATAATTTTATTTGGTTCCATATCTTCTTTGTAGCAGATGATAGAACAATGATATTCATGCAGTTACATGGAATGCTTTACTGGACTACAGGCAGGCTGACAAACACACCTTGCCCATTGCTATGCTAACATATCCTGTGGAGAAACAACACCTATGCATACCAGGCAGACAACCAAAGCAATTCTATGCAAATTCAACTTTTTGAGTTAATGTGCTTATTGGGATTACTTACTTACAGCAGCCTGGAGGACTCAAAAGCAGTTGCATCAACAAAATGTTTTCATATCCAGTTTTGGTGAAAACTCACAGAAACTGCAGTCCTGCTGCTGAATGCATGAAGTTCAAATAGATTTATAGATCACATCCGGGCTCTAAGGATTGTCAGAGAATCTTTCTCCCCAACCCTTGTTTAACACTTCTGTAATAACAGAAAGGGACTTGTGTTCTTTAGACTCTCGAGAACTTGTAAGGTTATTTAAGGAATATATTGTCTTCCTTAGACTCAAAAGCCAGCCTTCCGTCATCTATAAGGAGATCTGTCAGGAGAAACTGTAGAAAAATAGTCACACAAGTGTCTGTCTCTCCCGTGTCCCTCTGATAGCACTTTCAATCTGCTTGGCTACGATTTCTCTTTTAGAACTTGTCTTATATAATCATTCTCCAAGTTTGTCTTCGCATTAAAAATACTTTGAGGCTTGAGTTAAATCTCCAGAATGCGCTGGGCTTATGGCTTCGAATCCTGACTGTTTGTTTTTTTTTCAAACAGAAGAAAGACTAACAGAGAAATCATGTGTTAACTGTGTGATTGATCATATACTTTCACCATCTAAATTTTTTGGTTGTGGTGGTTATTAATTTTGTTTCTAAATGAACCAGATAAGAAGTATCAATAGACAGATACTGAAAATTACCAAAAAAAAGACTAAAACATTTAGGAAGTTATATTCCCCAAATGATGACAGTTTTATCATAGAAGAGCAGAAACAAGCCAGATATAACTTAATTTTCTGATCATAGGTAGTATTAGCCTTATTTTGAATGTGTATTTTTAAGGAAAAGCATGAGTATCCACACTTGTCTTTCTAAAGTCAAAAATTATAAAAACGTTCCTGTAACTTGTGAGGCACTATACCACTGACAGATAATTTGAAGTGTTAAATGAAGTGAACCCCTTGGGAAGAGATTTTGAAGTAACCTCCTCAGAGCACACTTGACATCCCTGTTCCTCAGGCTGTAGATCAAAGGATTGAGAGCTGGAGGTAATACAGTGTAGAGAACGGAAAAAAGCTTGTCTGTGACTGACGGTACATCTGAGGGAGCCTTCAGATAGACAAAGCAAGCAGCAGCAATGAAAATAGTGAAAACAGTGAGGTGGGGAACACATGTGGCAAATGCTTTGGACTGACCCTTAGTAGTAGGAATCTTAAGCACAGTGGATAATATGTGATAGTAAGAGATCATCACACATGTAAAGCAAGACATGCCTAGACACAGACCAATTCCATGACTTGTATAAACGACCACAAGTGTTTCAGAGCAGAAAATCCTTAGCAATGAGGGGACATCACAGAAAAACTGTGGGATCACATTGGAGCCACAGAAAGGCATGGAAAATGTTCCAGCTGTATATATGGCTCCAAAGAGTGCTCCAGTAGCCCAGGAAACAGCCACCATCAGCATACAGGTTCGACTACTCATAATGACCTCATAGTGAAGGGGACAGCAGATGGCAACATAGCGGTCATAGGACATGGCAGTCAGGACAATTGTCTCACTTGCTGAAAAAGAAGTCATAAAAAGTATCTGGAAGGCACAGCCAGGAATGGAAATAAAATTGTTGTGAGTTAGACTGTTGACAAAGAAACTTGGGATTGGGACAGACACAAAGAAGATGTCAAACAAGGACAAATTCTTCAGGAAGAAGTACATGGGTGTTTGGAGCTTCAGATCCAGGGTGATGAGAGTGACGATAAGGAAGTTACTCATCAGGATTGTTAGGTACACTACCAGGAAGAATACTCCACAGACAGTCTGTAGCTCCTGGGTGTCTGAAAGCCCCGTAAGGATGAATCCTGTTATTCTCGTGAGATTGGGCATAATATATTTTTCAAATGACCTGTCAAGTATGATAAATGAACAAAAATTGATACAGTCTCAAATATTTACACTGATGTACAAAAATGGATCCAGGACACTACATAGGTTGTTCCCTATTTTTAATAGTCCACATCTTATCTTTCCATAAAGTGATACTTTCCCTTATTACATAAATTTTATTGAGTTATCATTTATACCAATTTATTGTACCATGCTTTGTCACAAATTTGAGAAAAATCGTAACAGAAATATATGGTGCTTTTCCTAATAGAAATGGCTCTTCACCTGAAACTGCAGTAATCTAGTGTGCAAGAAACAACAGGATAAAACCTTAGATTCTCTCCCTTCTGTATTTTGTTTCCTTCGTCTTAATCTTGGGTGAGATCTCTGCTCAACTTTTCATAGCCACATTTACCATTCAAAGTTGTTCAACAAAGTTAGTGTCTTCTTGTACCTGTAATACTTTAAAGAGATTGCCAAATTCCACCATTGACAGTGTGTTCGGGACCCTTTGAATAGCACATGGATGCTTACATTCATTGGCTAAATCTTTATTGAAGAGAAGCTTTCTCCTCACAAATCCCTCAAAGGTGAGCCAGTGCCCCATAAGCAGAAACAGTCATCTCCTAGGGACCAATTTGTCTCCAGATTACTTGTCTAATACGTAAACTCCTTGTAATGCAAATGAGCTTAATCAAATAAGGATCATCCTCAATTCAGCCTCATCAAATTTCTGCTTACAGATAAAATTCTGTATGTTGATAAGAGAGATAACTAACAACCAGGCCACAATTTGAAAAAAAGTGCTTGAGAATCCATAGCTCTTATAATTCATTCCTGTAATCTTTGAGCTCTTCTTACTATTTTAAAATACTTGGTTACCTTATACGTTTATATTATCTGCCTCTTTCCCTAACTTTCACATTTGATTTTTGTTTATTTTCTGTGGTGATTAACCACACCTGATTTTCTAAAACTCTCTAAAGTGAGGCTTCATGTGGCCTAAGATTTCCAAAGCAAAGCAAAGCAAGTGCCCTTGCTTAAGAAAATAATATTATCTATCACATTGCATTTATGTGTAAAAGTAGCCAAGTGTTGTAGTTATAACTCTCAGTTATTGTTATATTAAATAGTCTAAAATACTATATACAAACATATATCCCTGTCTTCGTGAATGTAAACAAGGTCATATGAACATAGTTTTTGTTCAGTATTTATACCATCTTAAACTGATCCAATCCTAAAATACTGAATATATCACTGACTTTGTTAAGAGATGAAAGTTGGGGCCTCCTGGAAAATGGGAGAGGTTGCTTTCCTGGTGAAGAACACACATTGCGAGATTATTCACTATTATTCACAAATACATTGCAAAATCTCTTAGTAAAACAAAGCAACAACAACAAAAAAGAGGCTATGGATTTGACAGAAAGAGTAGAGTCATATGTGTGGCTTTGGAATAAGGTAGTGCAAAAGAGAAATATTGTAATCGAATTATATTCTCAAAAATTAAAAACAAATGAGAAGAGAAAACTAAAGAAAAAAGTGAGAGGCAGGAAACTTGACCCAGCCACTGAAAACTGTTATTTCAGCTTCCAAGACCTAGTTGATGGCGCAAAATTGACTGTAACTCCAGTTCCTAACACCTATTGAATTGTCTGTAGGCTCCAGACAGGCACAAATGAACACAAAAACAAATGCAAATAAATCCCATAAATACACAGGAAATAAAAAATATTAGATATATCTTAAAAAAGGATATAATTTAAAAATTTGAGTTGTTCAGCTACACACATTTGTAGTAGAGACATGTCAGGATGTCATGGTGTTTTGTTTATAAAGGAGTCTTGAAAAATGAATCCATCAAAATACTTCCTTCTTTAGTTCCCCCATATTTCTCTTATCACATCATGTTTTCTGAAAATAGCTTTTAGTAAGATCCAGTATACTATGATATTTTATATAATTTTTATTGGTATATTACTGGTTACTTAGGTTTAGGTATAGACTAGTATCATTGAAAAAAAATGATACAATGTTACATATATTACACATGGTACTAAATGGTAGTGACAAAAATAAAGAATTTTGTGGGGCAGTGGAAAGCTTATTTGCCGAAGGAGGAGGTCAAAATAGTACACAAAAACAAATCCTATGACAGTGACATACCAAAGTTTATAGATTAGCTATGTGGCTCCTAAATTGTCTTTAAAGGCTTTCAATTCATACCAAATGCAGAGGACAATTGAACAGGACAGATATTGCCACAGAAGATACTTTAAAAAGAATAGTTCTACTATAAAATAAAGGTAAGTCTTGTTTAGATCATTTCAGAAAAAGCAGTGGTAAGCAGGAAGGAAGTGTGGCAGGGAACAAAGAATTGTGATGATGTTTGCCAGCTCATTGTAACCATCAGGAAGAAGAAAGATGGAAAAAATTAAAAAATAGTGAAGAAATGACTTATAATTTGCATTGCTTTTTGATAACTATTCTAATTCTCATAATATCTTTTATATATTATATATTATATATAATATAATCGTTTATTCAGAGCAATGTATTTTAATATTTTATCACCAGAAATTTGCAATATGTACTTTAAAGCAATTCAGATGCCTCAGATTCCTGACAAAGGGATTAGTCATTCAATTTCATAGGAAGATTTTCCAAGAGGTCCAAATGAGGAGTCAAAATTTCTTATAGACATTAGCATCTGGATTATTGATGGATCAACTAAAGATTTGCAAACTCTGTAATCATAACATCTAGTTATGATTTAGGCACCTGAAAAGATTCAAAAGTCTATCCAAAGTTGTAATGATTTTCTAGTACAGAATAAAGCAAATAAGAAAATCATTTACCGTCTTATAAATTTTGCTTAGATTTCTTTTGAAGCACTGTGTGATCCAAAGGGCTCTGATAGATCTTTAAGGCACTTGGCTACAACCTTAAGATTACCCAAGGGAAAACATTTATGAATAGCCTTACTTATTATTTACTTTTCTCTTAATTAGTTATAAGAATTGGTGCTTTTTATAGGAAGAACTGATCAGTCCCCTGAAAATACACCAGAATAGATCATGAAAAACATGGCTCACACTTTTCCCAGGATTATATTAAACCAAACACATATACTCTAAATTATAATGAAAAAGGTTATTTTAGTTTTTAGTAAATATTAAACTATATGCAGAAAATTTCTCTAAGGACTCTTGCCACATATTCATGTTATTAGTTATTTTATCATCACTATAATAAAAACCTGAAAAACAAAACACAACTTAAGATAATCAAGGTTTACTTGTAAGGAAATAATCTTACCAACTGATTCATCTTTTCAGTCTATTTGAAATTCTAAGGTATTTTCTCTTAGACAAATAATTGTACTTAAATAAATCATACTCTCTCTCTCTGTGTGTGTATCTGTATATGTCTAAAATTACAGATATAGGGCACTGGGTCCGATTCCTCGGGGCACCCAAGCGGGCAGGAGTCCCTTTGTTTCTATCGCCTGCCTGCACCAAGCAGGGTAGGCGCTTTGTTTGCGACCTGCCCACCAGAACGGAGGACTGATCTCTTGGCGCCAGGAGAGACAGCATTGGGGTGAGTTTCTGGCCCCGCGGCACCAGCCTGGGAAGGGGAGCTCAGAGGTTCCATGGCCCCCTATCCTTCTTGGGCTCTCTGCAGGGACTCCACTCCCTGCATACCGCCTCTTTCTTCCTAGCCCACCCAGCTCCCATCCAGAACCCTCCCCAATTCGGCCCCACTGTCCTCTTTCGGCACATAACATCACCCAGCCCAGACTGTCTGGGCACTGGGTCCGAATCCTCAGGGCACCCAAGCGGGCGGGAGTCCCTTTGTTTCTATTGCCTGCCTGCACCAAGCAGGGTAGGCGCTTTCTTTGCGACCTGCCCAACCAGCACGGAGACCTGATCTCTTGGCGCCAGGAAAGCCAACGTTGGGGAGAGCCAGCGTTGGGTAGGTAAGGAGACCTGATCCAGTAAAAGAAGATCCATAAGGGAGCATTTGGAAGAAGAGATGGGCAGACGCCAAGGCAAGAATTCGCCCAACAAGCTGAAAAGCAACATAAAGCCACCAGAAACCAGCGACCTCACAATGGGAGGACATGAACACCTTAATCAAGAAGAAGTAGAAAAGATTGACTTCATGAAAGTGATTGATGCCCTTAAACAGCATGTAAAAAACGCCCTTATAGAAATGGATGAGAAATATAACAGAAAGTTTGAAGAATTGAATAAATCAGTGAATGATACCCTAGAAAACCAAGGAAAAACAATCAAACAGATAATGGAAACAGTTCAAGACTTGAAAACTGAAATGGAGGCAAAGAAGAAAACACAAACAGAGGGCCGGCTGGACATGGAAAATTTAAGTAAACAAACAGAGTCTACAGAAACAAGCATAACCAACAGAATACAAGAGTTAGAAGAAAGAATCTCAGATTCTGAAGATACCATAGAGAAAATAAACACACTGATCAAAGAAAACAGCAAGTCCAACAAACTCTCATCACAAAATATTCAGGAAATATGGGACACAATAAAAAGACCAAACCAAAGAATAATAGGAGTAGAAGAAAGACAAGAAGTGCAGCTCAATGGTCCAGAAAATATATTTAATAAAATTATAGAAGAAAACTTTCCCAACCGAAAGAAAGATATACCGATGAAGGTTCAAGAAGCATACAGAACACCGAATAGGCTGGATCAAAAAAAAACATCCCCTTGCCATATAATTATCAAAACACAAAGCATACAGAATAAGGAAAGAATATTAAGAGCTGCAAAGGAAAAAGGCCAAGTTACTTATAAAGGTAAACCTATCAGACTTACACCTGACTTCTCCATGGAAACCATGAAAGCCAGAAGGTCCTGGATAGTTGTACTTCAGAAACTAAGAGACCATGGATGCAAGCCCAGATTACTATACCCAGCCAAGCTTTCATTCACTATAAATGGAGAAAATAAAATTTTCCAGGA